CCCGCCACTATAGCCGCCCTTGCCTCGAAGCTAGTGGAGATGCACCCCTCGAAGAGGACCGCTCTCCAGCCAGCATAGATGCAGCACAACCCTCGCACCACCTTGAGCGGGAAGTGGTGGATTTTGGCCGCCTCCAGCAAGTGGCTGAGCCTTACGTTCTCATAGAATCGCTGCAGGTCCAGGCCCGCAGTCGTGGACAAGAAGCCGACCTCGCGCCCGAATCCCGCCATCAGGTTGTGGGTGTAGCCAGCCCAATCACAGCTTGTGAGAGTCGACCCACCCCAAAGAAACGCATCATCATCGGCCCGCTCACAGGCCGCACACAGCGGCCGCCGAAGCCGGGACCACAAGCGTGGGAACAGCGCCAGGTGCCCAATAGGTCGGACTCCGCCTCTCGCTTTCGCAATGAAGATCATTTGCGTCTGGCAGGCCAGGAAGGCGCCTGGTTGCTCCTCGAACGTCACAATGATGTCGAGGAACCTTTTGAGTGCATCGTCGCCCAGCTGCAGCAGCACCCTCGGGTTGAGCCCGTCCCAGCCGAGCCCAGCGGACTCGGTGTACTTGCCACATACGTCTTTCAGCTGCTCCACCGTGAGGGGCGGTAGCTCCTCGTCGTCGACGTCCCACTCGGAAGGGTGAGCATCGCCTGCGCGCCTGCGAGTCCACAGGTGCTGCCAGTCGTCTAGGATGCGCCGCGCAGCCTGCTGCCCATTCACTGGGCGCGAGGTCCTGGACGGACACGTCCTCCGCCATGTGGTCGCCGATGTCCTCCAGCTAGCATACCTGTGGGCTTGTCGCCCGCCCTTCTGAGCCGCCTGGACCACCCAGGCTCGCCACTCTGCAGTCTTGGCCGCCGCGTCGCATACCCTGCGCCCATCGAGCTCCTTGCGAAGCTTCGCGAGAGGAAGCACCTCCTCCCCGGCAGCGCCAGGCAGCACGCCGCCGCTCGGTGACCTTGGACGCCCTTCGGCCCAGCCGCGAAGGTCACCGGCCCCCAGCGTGAAGGTGCGGCGCCAGTGAGCAGTCGCGGGGAGCCGCGAAGCTTTCCAGCCGCCGGGAGTCGTCGCCGACTCCGCCAGGTCGAGCAGGTCCTGCTGCGCAACGAGCGCCTGCGGATCAAAGTCCAGGACCGCAATCATGCCCTGCAGCTGCCTCTTCCACTGCGCCAGCTTAGCTTTGCCGCGAGCCCCTGGGTGAGCGGACGCAACCACGGCGGCCTTCTCTAGCAGGCCGTGCACGCTGAGCCACGTCGTGGTAGCCGACGTGAACCTTGTGCGGCCCTCTCGGGCCCAGAGATCACCGAGGGGGACCTTGGTCTGCGGCCCACGGCTCCTGCCAGTGTATTTGCGGGCTTCGTCCTGGTCGATGCCCTGGTCCCGAAGCAACTTCTGCTCCGCGAACGTGAACCATTCCTGCACCATCTGCTCGATCGGGCACGCCTCGCGCGTCCCCGCGGGCCAACTCCAGACGAAGGGAGGGTCGTCGAGCTTGGGGCCGATCAGCGGGTGAGCGTCGAAGGGCTTGAAGCGGACAGGCACCTGGGCCATTTTGTGGCTCTGCAGGTTAGCCAGCTGCAGAGAGATGGGCGCATGTGGATGAAGAGGGGCGTTGGGGTGGACTCGGACCCCAACTACACAGCTCGCCAACGCCTTCGATACAACGAAGTAGTCGATGGTGCGAGCTGCCTCCGTACCCCTAGCTGCGTCAGTACCGTCTTGTCGACGTCGCTCCTGAACGCTGCAACTCCAGCAACTGGCACCGTGAGGCACCACCAAGGCCCCGCGCACCAGGGACATGAAGCCAGACTCTTCCAGCTCTCCTGGCGCCATGTTCCAGTCAGCCTGGACAACCCACATCGCGTCGAGGCTCAGCACGAGCTTCGCCAGGAAGCTGAGCAGGTCGGCATTTCCTTTTGCCCCAACGCTGGTCTCACAGTAGACCGACAGCAGGGCGATCCCGCCAGGAAGCGCGACCCCCAGGCGCTGGCCGCACACTCTGTGGGCGAACTCGGAGCGCTCGATCTCCACGGCAGCCGAGGCGAGCTCGCGGTGCACCATCATTGAAACACCGCCTGAGCTGTTCAAGGCTCCTTCCCCTGTGGAGCGCGCCCGGCCATGCGAGGCGCGCATCTTCTCTCTCGTGGCGAGGCTGTGCGCTGAGATCAGCTTCTCCTCACCCTTGATCCTCGTCCTCTGCAGGCAGAAAGCAAGGGGCCGCCGCGTCTCCGCATGCAGCCCGATGTCCGCCAGCCTGCCTGCCGCACTCTGTTGCGTCGACCCACTGCAGTAGCGCCGGCAGGCTGCTCCAGGCATTAACGTTGGCGCCCATGAGGGTCAAGCTCTCCCTGGGGTAGGTCTCGGCGGCTTCCAATGCACCCGGAATTGGGTCGCCCCCGCATTCGGCCTCAGGCCAGTCGCCGATGGCGCCAGGCGCAGGGCAGCCGCGAAGGGCGTTACCCAGTGGACCCGTTTTTTTTTTTTTTGTTCCCCCCCCTCCTGGGGGGGCAGGCGTAGCAGCGGTGCCGCAGATCTTCTGCAGCCAGCCCACAGCGCGGGCAGAGGCCTGTGCTGTCGTAGTCTGCCTCCTGCGTGCGCTGCGCAGTCCAGCAGCTGCCCGTCAAGATGTTCTCGAAGGCACCTGCGTCCTTGAAAAAATATTATTCAGGCTTACGCCACATCCGCCGACCCCTTAAATGCGTTCGAGCAAGACATGTCTGACGCTGTTGAAAGCAGGCGGAAATGCCGGGTGCACAGAAGAAGCATAATTCATCGGGGGAGAGGCTCTGTCGGAAATGCGCGGAGGGGCGAGAGAACGAGGTGCGACGTGACGTGCGCGGCGTGCGGAGGAGCGTTCTCGGACACGAAACATTTGCAGCAGCAGCAGGCGGGGAATCATCTAAAGGCGACAGGAGCGGCGCGTGCAAGAGAATACCACCGAAGTCGGAGAGGTCGTTTGGCGTCTCGGAGCTCTCGTGGGCCGTCTTGGAGGCTTCTTGGGGCCTTCTTGGCCCGTGTTCAGGCCCTCTTGACCCCGGAAAAGTCCCGTGATGCGCTCGTGCTGGGCCCAGGGGGGGGAAATCTCTGGTTTGAGGTCTCGGAGGTAGTTTCGAAGTTCACTGATTGCCGTTTTGGCACCTCTTGGGGCCTCTTTTGGGTCTTTCGGACGCTTTTTGGAGGTCTTTTGGGGGTCTCTCGGGACCTTTTGGGCAGCTCGTGGGGTGTCGTCCCAGGGCCAGGTGGGAGTGGAGGGCTCGGATTTTCGGTTCGGGCTCCGCCGCTGGGGCCCCTCTAGGAGCCGTCTTGGGATTCTTTTGGGCCTATTCGGGAGCCTCGGGGCCGTGTTGGCGCCGTTTTGGGCCGTCTTGGGCGCCTTTTGGGACCCCTTTGGGACGTCATGGGGTGGCCTTGGGGGCCTCTTAGACTGGCTGGAACTCCGTGCAGGCTGAAAAGTCGTCGATGCTAAAAATGTGCGTTTCCCCATGGGAAATTCATGATTTTCGCTGTTTTGGACCCTCTTGGAGCGCCCCTTCGGGGCCTCTTGGAGCGTCTTGGAGGCATTGTGGGCTGTCTTGAGCCCATCTTGGGGAATCTTGGAGCCACCGAAGGCCACGTGGAGGTCCTCTTGAACCGTCGAGGTGCGTCTTGGGGCCATTTCGAGGCCACTGGAGGAGTCCCTGATGGCGCCAGGCGCAGGGCAGCCGCGAAGGGCGTTACCCAGGGGGCCCGTTTTTTTTTTTTTTTTTTTTTTTTTTTTTTTTTTTTTCTTCTCTATGGGGGGGCAGGCGTAGCAGCGGTGCCGCAGATCTTCTGCAGCCAGCCCACAGCGCGGGCAAAGGCCTGTGCTGTCGTAGTCTGCCTCCTGCGTGCGCTGCGCAGTCCAGCAGCTGCCCGTCAAGATGTTCTCGAAGGCACCTGCGTCCTTGAAAAGTGATTTGCGTCGCATCCATCGTAACGTTTTCTCTGCTCCCTGTAGCTGGCCTCCCTGTTCATACCCATGTCCTTCGTAGTGTCGACTTGCTTGTCGCCGTAGTCCTGCTTGTATCTGCTGGCGCACCGCTTGATGCAACGCGTTAAAATCTGTGCCCTCTGGTGCTGAAGATCCAGTCGTGGCCATCGGGGTCGGTCCAGCGGTCGGGTTGGCGTGGGGACCAGTTCACCTCTCCGAGACCAACGATGAGGGCGCCCATAAGGCCTGTGCCCGACTTCCATCCACTTGGATTGCACCTTCTTGGTGGCCATCTTGGCGTAAACAGCCTGCCATCCCAGTCGTACACGCGCATGGTACTGCGGATTCTGTTCCCAGACAGTGAACCACTCTTTGATCTGCCGCCGAAGGTTCTAGGAGACTGGGTCCTGCTTGTCATAGATGTGGAGCAGGATGGTGGAGGTGCATCCGCCGTGGGCAAAGAATCCTGCCATGGAGCTTGCAGTCGCTCGCTCCATCGTCACCTCTCGTGTCGGTTAGGTCCACATTGCTGCGTCGTACGCTCGCTTGGCTCGCAGGTTGGTTGTGTAGAATCGCCCAGTAGCCCGTCGTCCAACTCCACGGCGCTGAAATATGCGGGTGCGCTTGTAGCGCTGCATCGTGGCCTTGGCTCTCTTGGTGGCAGTCGGGGTCCGTCGTTGGCGGCCTGCTGTGGCGTCGATGATGGTGGCTGCCTTGATGGGTACGGACTTTGGCAGATAGCGTTGATGACCGCTCGTTGAATGCCATGGGGCCCTACCACCACGGTCTTCTCTGAGACTTTGAGGCCTAGGTCATGGATGCCCTGGACAAGGGTGGAGGCCCCGTGGCTCATCTGGTGAGTGACGAGGGAAAGATGCCCTTCTGCTCGGATCATGAGGTCGTCGACGAACTCCCACATCATGATGCCAGTGTAGCGATGCCGCGGTGGAGGAGGAGGAGGAGGAGGAGGAGGAGGAGGAGGAGGAGGAGGTGTATAGTTAGCGTCTGATGAGAGCGAATGCTCGCGTGGTGTTCTGGCTCCCTGGTTCCTCGAGCAGCTCCAGCACGGGGTCGGACTCGGCGAGCAAGAGCGACGACGACCTGCCCGCGGCGCAGCGCCGCAGCCGCAACGCGCGGCGCATGGCGAGCACGCCGCTGAAGGTCGAGCTGCAGAGAGCCGCGGTGCCCTCGGGACTGCTGGGGGCAACGGCAAGGGCCACAACCGGTTGGGGGCGACGAGAGCCACAACCGCTTGCACTTTTTGCTTCCTCGGGGCTGGACAGACCTCCTACCCTGACACGTCGGTTGAGGAATTGGCCGTTTTCGGTTTGCGAGAGGGCGTCGCGGCCGTCATTTTTGCGGGTTCAGGCCCGTCGGTTTCGGTCCCAGGTCGTTTTCACTAAGGGGAGGTTTACTAAAGGGAGGTTTGTCCACCGCCGATTTCCTGCTCTTCCTCCCACCTGCTGCGCGACGTCTCCCTTCCCCCGCCCTACCCGGCCGCTCTGAGTTTCCTCAGGCCAGGGCGGGGTCACGCTGGCCCAAAACGCAATTCAAGATTTCGCGGAACAAATAGTTTCTTGGTGCTGGTGTCGGCTTTCTGTTTTCCCACTACCCACCAAAGCACCCCAACCCAACCCGAAGGCCCCGATTTGCCCTCCATTCCCAGTCGGGGGGCCTCGGGGAACAGGTAACATGGACAGAAGCACATCCTGAGCCCCTTGACCCCCCCAACCCGAAATTGGGGTCCTCGTGTTGAGTTGGGGCGATCAGGCTTGCACTCAAGGGGGGGGGGGCCCGCTCAGGGGGGGATCGAAGAGGAGCAGCGCGGGCAAGTCTTGCCTGGTTGATTCAGGCGATCGCGAACATGGATCAAGGGGGCGTGGATCAGCGACGGGTCCTGCTTCCGTTGGACATCGCAGATTTCCGCCGCCGAGCGAGGCGGCACCGGCCGCATTTTGGGGAGGCGACAAATCCATGGATCGCTAATCCATGTTTTGGTCGCCCCCGATTGATGGCTTGGGCGGCCAGCGGCGCGCGGCGCCGCGCGAGAGCAGCGATTCTGCCGTAGGCTTGAGTCGGGCGTGTCCCACTACAGAAGGAATATTCAAAGATAGTCCCAAAATCGTATGGGGACGATTTTTCGTTTTTTGTTGGTTTGGGAGGGGGGGGGTAATTTTTGTTTTTTTCGGTTTCATCCAAAGACCGCCTGTAGGGGGACATGCCCGACCTAACCATGGGCTCTGGATCACTCGGGCATGTCCCGCATCGCGCTTGCGTCTTGGGTCCTTCATAAATCACCGAGCGCGTTCAACGACTCGCAACGTGCCTGTTCGCAAGCGAAAAAACACGTGTTCGTCTCGACCCAACAGATCGCATATTGCCCGCGGCGGATCCAGGCCATTGAGAATAGTTTCCTTGCAAGTAGTGGAACACGCTTGTCCAACAAACGTTCTTTTGCCTCGTCCAAGGGAACCGACTCCCAATCTCGAAGAAGAGACACTGCATAAACAGAACTGTTCGGAGGTTCGCGTTTCCTGGATCTGCGCTGGGCCCTCCTGGTGGCGCCTACGGCGCCGTCCCTGGCGCGCTCCGCGCGCCAGGGAGGAGGGTCTAGCGCCGCTCCAAGATATCCTTGCGGACCTCCGAAAGTGTATGTCACAGTTGGTAGCGAATCATGGGAGCTTGGTGTGCCTTCTTAATTCCGTTTTTAGATTCGACTCGCGTCGATTAGCGTCTCTGAGTCGATGATATAGCGCCGATTCAGCGTCGGTTAACGTCTGTGGGCGTCGGTTTAGCGTCGATCAGCGTCGATTTAGCGTCGACTATCGTCGACTCGCAAGAGCCGACAAGATGGTATGGTAGGCTCCCATGAGTTGCCACCGAACCACAGTGTACGTTTATAGATTTTTTTATTCGTCAGGGCGCGAGCCCCAGGAGGGGCACCTCAATTGAAAAACACAGCGGTCACCGGAGGGGTGGATGAATACGAATACACAACAACAATACCAACACCACCAACAACAACAACGCAACAACAACCATGATTTTAAGGCTGTTCGCTGTTATCCGGTCGCGTGCCATCTAACACGTATAACCCAAACCTTCGATGCCCGCCATTTTCGTATTCGATGGTACCCTCTGAGGGCTACATTTTTTACCTGCAACGCGTATTTCGTGCAGTCCCTAAGGCAGGTGAAGAGGACGGATGGAAGAAAGGGAGAAGGAGCAGGCGGGTTGCTGAAGTGTGCGTCTTGCATGAACTGCAAGGACGTCTCGAGCGATAACGCGATTCCCAGATAAATCGTGAGGAACTCTACAGCGAGAGCGTGATTCCTGAGTATCGAGGGCGCGGCGTCGGAATAAATTGTGAGGACGTCCCACGCGAGATCGCGATTCCAGTATAAACTGTCAGGCAGTCCCGCGCGAGAGCGTGATCTGGGAATGCATTGAGGAAGTATCAGGCGGGAGCCGTTGTTGTTGTTGTTGTTGTCGTCGTCGTCGTCGTCGTCGTCGTCGTTGTTGTTGTTGTTGTTGTTGTTGTTGTTGTTGTTGTTGTTGTTGCTGTTGCTGTTGTTGTTGTTGTTGTTGTTGTTGTTGAACTCTCATTTCTGAAGAATAATTATTGTTGATCCCCCCTGTCCGGTGCCCATTGGTTTTTTCAATTGAAGTGCTTCCTCCGGGGCTCGCACCCTGTTTTTTGACAGGGAAAGCCTTGCGGATCAGATTGCGTTGTTGGGCCCCGGACTACAACAACAACGGCTCCCGCCTGAGACTTCCTCACAATTTACTCAGGACCCCCGCTCCCGCCTGAAACTTCCTTAAAATTTACTCCGGAAGGGCGCTCCCGCTTTAGACTTTTTCATATTTTACTCAGAAACGGCGCTCCCGCTTGAGACTTTCTTAACCCCGCGGATCTGCGTGAGGGGTGGCGCCGAATTTCAGAAATGTGGCAAATCCCATGTGTTTTTGGACCCTGACCCCGCGGATCTGCGTGAGGGGTGGCACCGAATTTCAGAAATGTGGCAAACCCCTCTTGTTTTTGGACCCTGACCCCGCGGATCTGCGTGAGGGCTGGCACCGAATTTCAGAAATGTGGCAAATCCCTTTTGTTTTTGGACCCTGACCCCGCGGATCTGCGTGAGGGGTGGCACCGAATTTCAGACATGTGGCAAATCCCCGGTGTTTTTGGACCCTGACCCCGCGGATCTGCGTGAGGGGTGTCGATTTCGAGCCCCCCCAGCAATTCAGACAACGCGCCCAGGCGGTGCTAAAAATCCTGTTTGGCCCCCCCCCCCCCCCTCGCGCGGTCAATCAACTAGTTACAGTAACCAGCAAGAAGCAGAACTGTAACACTGGAAACTACAAGCTACAACTGGTACTGGAAACTGCGAACCCGCGCCTCGCAGCCTGGTGGCCCCACAAGGGGGCCGGCGGATATATATATATATATATATATATATATATGTATATATATATATATGTTCATTAAACATATATTTAAAAGAGTACAAGAAATAGGTTTCGTCCACAATCCGCCTGTAGGGGGACAGGCCCGACCTACGGACGCCTCGGCGCTGTTATGAAGTGTTTTGGGAGCGTCATGCGCGGGAACCTCATGTGAATCGGGGCATGTTGGCGTTGTTGTTGAACGCCTCGTTCCCTTCTCACAGGGCCAGACCTGACCGCTGTTTTGCTGGCCTTTGGCCGTGCTTTGTTTTCTGTTGTGCTGTCAGGGAGGCAGAGGAAAACGGATAGAGCAACACGAACAACAAAACGAAGCCAACACGAAAACACAACGAAAACATAACAAGCCAAACAACAGCACGACACAACAAAACGAACCCAACACGAACACAACAACAGCACGAGCACGAAAGCAAAACGGACCAAACAACACCCGAACACGAAACAGAACATACCAGAACGAGCACATAGCGAAAACACGACAACGAAACGAAAGCAACACGAAAGCAAAACGCACCACCAAACGACAGCACAGCGGAAAACAGCCCCCGCCGTGGCCGCCCCCCGCTGTGGCCCGAACCCGCCTTGGCCCGAACCCGCCGTGGCCGTGCCCGCCGTGGCCGTGCCCGCCGTGGCTCCACGACTCTCAGGCCTCCCCAGGTGCGGGAGCACCTTTCGGCCCAGCCCGTTTCGGAGGCCTGGAAATTGGCACAAACACCAGGACAGGGGGTTGCCTCCACAGGGGGAAGGTGATCCTAGATTTTCGGTGTTGGTGGTAATAGTTCGGCCACCTTGGAAGCCAGAATATTACCACCATCGCCGAAATCGGGATCTTCTTCCATCGGTGGAGGCACGCCGCCGAAATTGGTGTTGGTGTCAATCTCTAGGCCTGCGACCGTTGCCTCCTCGGGGCGCGGGGCGCCGGGTGCGGCCTCCGGGGCACCCCTGGGGGCCTCGGGTGCGCGGGCCCGGCGCCACGCTTGCGGGGGACGGTGTCCTCGGGAGCTCCTTAGGCCTCCTGGGTGGGGTCCGAGTGGGTGGGGTCCTCTGGGGCTCTGGGCCTCGTGGATTCTGCACGAGCGAAACGGGTACACACAAATAAATACACAAATGTAGCAGGATCCCCCAGGTTTTCCCCTATTCTCCGGGTTTTTGTCTTCCCCCCCATCTTCCCATCTCTTCCCATCTTTTCCTGGAAGTCGACGATTCATTGTGTCTGTGTGTTTTTTTCCCTTCTGAATTTTGTCACGACCCGAGGGGGTCTGGTTTGGGCGCCCGAAATGGGTACATAAAGAATGGGTATAATACCGAACAGCAGTTCCTGTCCATTTTGCGCAGGACTCGCTGTCCGCGCAGCCGCGGCCTGTGGCCATTCGAGACAATCGGCGCCTGCCCAACAGCGGCCGCTGTAGGCTTGGGACAACATTTGTTGTTGGGCGTAGTGCCCATTCTTTTCGTACCCATTTCAGGGCATCCAAATGGATGGGGTCGGAGTGGATGGGGTCGGAGGATCGCGCCGCATCGCCGATGCATCGGCGATGCGGCTCGACGTGGAGCCCGACTTTCTTCGCGCTGGCGTCGGCGATGCACCGCCACTGCATCGCTGATGTGTCGGCGATGCGGCGAGGTCCTCCGACCCCATCTACTCGGACCCCATCCAGGAGGCCTCTAGGAGCGCGGAGGCGGGTGCAGCTTGTGAGCATCGTTCAACCGATCCCTACATATCCCACCTCGCGTGCCCTGAACCCTACCGGCAGGTTTACCCCCATAGATGGGGATCATAGGCAGTTTTTGTCCGATTTCGAAGGCTATAATATTTATTTATATATACAGATCTAGATATATCCCCAACTGGGGGGATGAGATGGTGGGGGGATTTGGATGGGGATGGGGATGGGGATGGGGATCGGTCGAACGATACTGAGCTGGAGGGTGCAAGGATAGGGGGGGACAGGCATAGGGGGGGATGCGTCGACAACCAATCGCCCATGGATCGCCGATATGGGGCCCGGTAGTCCCAACCCGCCCAGGAAGGTGCGGATTCACGATCGGGGGTCTATCGCTGATCTATCGGCGATGTACCGCCGATTCCAGGTCGATGCGTCCCCCCTTATGCCAGTCCGCCCCCTATCGTTGCCCCTCAGAGCCTGGCGCCACATTCGTGGGGGATGGTGTCCTCGGGAGCGCGAAGGCGGGTGCAGCTAGCAGAAAACTCTGGCATCGAAGGCGCCAAACTGTTCTGCTTTCCGAAGGATGCCCGCCTCGGGAGCGCGAGGCGAGCGCAATGTGCGAGGGGCTCTCGGTACCTGAGCGCGAGCCTGGCATAAGATCGATACGAATTCTGGCATCATGGGCGCGAGCCTGGCGTAATTTGCAATGGCTTCTGGCCGCGGGAGCGCGAGCCTGGTGTGTTGTATCGGATTCTTGCCTCGGGAGCGCGAATCGAACGCAATGTGCAAGGGGTTCTCGGTTCCCGAGCGCGAGCTTGGCGTAAGTTCGATGGAGTCTGGCATCACGGGCGCGAGCTTGGCGTGATTTACAATGGCTTCCGGCCGCGGGAGCGCGAGCCTGGTGCAATTTGTGTAGGATTTTTGGTTTCGGGAGCGCGAGCCGGGCGCCATACATATATGTCTATATGTATATTTGTATATATATATATATATGTAGATATACATTTGTACACATCTATATGTATGTATGTATGTATACATGAATGTATGGCTGTATGTAGATAGGTACGTATGCATATACAGACATATGTATACGTATGTATGTATGTGCGTGTATGTACATGTGCATGTATATGTCTATGTATATGCATTTGTACATGTACATGTGCATGTATATGTATAGGTATATGCATGTGTATATACATTTGTTTATGAACATGTACATGTTTGTATATTTATATGTATATGTGCCAACATCCGTGTATGTATATGTAAATGTACATGGTTGTACACAATTATACTTAAACGTACAGGTATATGTATACATACATGTAGATGTATATGTATATGCAGCTGTAGTTGCATATGTATACGTATATGTATATGTATATGCATATGTATATGTATATGTATATGTATATGTATATGTATACGTATATGTATATGTATATGTATATGTATATGTATATGTATATGCATATGTATATGTACATATATATGTATATGTATATGTGTATGTATTCGTATATGCATATGTATACGTTTATGTGTATGTCTATGCATAGGTATATGTACATGTCTGTGAACATCACACACATACATACATACATACATACATTCATTCATACATACATACATACATACATACATACATATATATACATATATACATGCTGGAGTATGGCCGCGGGGGCGCGACTCTGGCGTAATGTGCACGAGCATTCTGGATCCGGGAGCGCGAATCTGGTGTATTTTACGATGCGTATGTCGGGGGCGGCCAAGAGGGGGGTAATGACTAGGGGGTGGTGGATATCACGGCGTGGGCCATGATATCTCCCCAGATTTCATTGCGCCTCTTCTTCTTTCAATATGTCCCTGGCCACGCCTCCCTGGGCCGGCGTACATGCCGCTGGCCATGATTTGCGCCCCCCCTTCTTGGACGCCTCCCTTTTGGACGACCCCGATCATGCAATTTCTCACGCAATCTCACTGCGTACGGCCCTGGGGACGCCAATCTCATGCAGCTTTACGCGTCCCAGGGCCACGAGGAAATCTGAGAACCCCGGAGGGTGTGGTAAGTTCTTTCTTTTCGGTCCCCTCGCGCGGATCAGTAATGCTTTACCGTGTGGAGCAGAAAGTAGAGCTATAGCATAACAGACTGGAAACTATATGCTGGAACTGGCGCAGGGCGCAGGAAACCTTAGCCGTGCATCCTGGTGGCCGCACAAGGGGGCCGGCGGACTTATGTCCGCCCCCCTGCTCTGCAACGTGACGAGGCCCCCTTGCGTTGCCACGTGGGGAGCGGAGCGTCGCCTTCATGGATTTGTTCTCCCGCTTGGCAGCCTCTTTGATGGAGGCAGGTGACGGTCGCTGCTGCTCCTGCTGCTGCTGATGCTGGCGCGGGTGTTGTTGTGCGGATGC